TTCTTTGACAGTTTTCTACTGGAAAAACAAAAGTAAGTCAAGTCAGGAAATTCAGATTTGTACTTCTCAGAACACATGTAGCACATGTAGATGAAATACAAAAGATAAAACCTATGGGATCTGTAGTGTGATATCTGTATTCTGGTATGCAGGGTAGCATTGTGGTTTTCAATTTCCCTTTTTCATATCTTTTAGAAATAATCTGTCCAATGGTATCCAGAATTTAAAAGCTGGGAATCACTGCTAAGCAATCCATGCAATTAATCTGGGTTGATAATCCACCTCAACTGGTTACTTTATAGCAGCACAGTATCTCAGTACTTTTTGTAATACTCAAGCAGGTTTTCCAGAGGCAGTGAATTTTTGTGCAATGAATTTGTTTTATATTCAGAATACTAGACCTCTTTTTCAATCACCAGACATTGCTAATCATTGGAAATCCTTGGATGTAGTAAGTCGAGTTTCCTAGAGGACAGTATATTCTTAATTTGGTTGATGCCGTCGGATTTACAGATGTGAGTTTAAAATACGTTATAGCTTAAACAAATGTACTAAGAGAATTTTCTAAGAGAAAGAATTTCAAATTTGGTGCTTTGCAATATGATTTTGACATAGTCTCAAATTTTTTTTTCTCATTTATTTGGTAATGATGTTCAGAAGACCTATAGAAAATTCTAGAATAGCAGTTAAATGACTTCTGTGAAAACTGCTTTGCTATCAATTATAACATTTCAAATGTGCCAGATTACCTGTTGATTATAGGTTTCAAGCACAAATAGGCATGGAACAGTATCCTTTAGTCAGAAGAAAAATAAGGACATCCACCCTTAGTTTGGCAGCTGAAAAATCACTTTGCTACGAGATTGCGCTTATAGAGTAACTACAGATTGGGAACAACTATTTTTGATATCAGCCATGTGCATGTGAAACCTGCCAGTGCATGTTCAGCACTCAGCCACGATTTGTGACACTTCCAGGAGAATTCTGACTTAGGGTGTTCAGTGATTGTCTACATACAAAAGCATTTATTACTGGCCAGCTGTACCTCTTAGCTCTAACAGCTTGCTGTCACGGGTTTTTGGTATTAGATTGACACAAGCTTTGGGGGAGGGAGGCAATGGGTAGTTTAAGGTCATTTTGAGTTGTTTCCTTGAATTAAATTTCTATTTCTTTTTTATTTATCATTTGTTAGATACTTGTGTGATATTAGTTCCAATTGTTCCATTACAGCAGCAATTTAAGGCTTCTGTATTCTTTGTGGCTTTTAAGAGCTGGTTAATAGAGAAGGTGAAACATTAATACCTCTGGTATCATTTATTTCTTTGTCTATATTTTAAGAAGTAGCTGTGTAATTCCCAACTCCAATTTTGTCTACCTAAGCAAAGCCACATGCTCAGAAATTTAATATGTGTTCAGACATTCTGGAAACCTTAGTTTTCACTTACCCTTCTTAAAAGTAAGGATTCTCATACTGTAGCAGTTGATACAGGTCTGAAGTCAGTCTCAAAGACCAGGAATAGAAGCATGGTCATCCCATTCTGTTATCCAAAAAATGCATCTCTCTTATGTATTTAGGTTGAAGTTGTTCTCCTTGTGATGGGGAACTGTGGTTTCTCACCACGACAGCTCATGGGAGAGCAGAATAAGCCATGTAGGCAGGTTGTCACGTATGTGATGAGAATGATCTGACAGAATTTGAACAGGAATGCCAAGGAGCATGCTCCTGTGCCAAGCATGGAAAAAGGATTCAGAGACTTATGATGGAAGAAAACTGAGTTTGCATAGGATACACGTGCTTTAGTGAGGGGGAATAATCTAATGCTTCTACCTCTCTTCTTTCCAGTGGAGAAAACACCCTGGCTGCAGATCATTCATCACATGTTCATGCAAACTGGATCTCTGGTCTTTTTGGTTTTTAGGGCAGGATGTTCGGGAGAGCTCAGGAACACAGGTTGATATGGAACTGACAGAGGTCCAACAGCATGAAATACTTTGTCATGGTGCTTATGTTGGGAGCAAAACTGAATTTTACTGTGAAAATAAATCCGAAATTAAGCCACTGTTGATTTTTTTTCCACTTTGGAGGCATTTAATGATCTCTTGCTGCTATTACCTTCAGAGTATAATTACTGTATGTAAAGTAATTACAGTTCAACTACATATTACTGGGGGATGAAGCTCAAATCCCTTTTGCAGGCTTTAATCATGCCACAGTCGTATCTCCTGTTCTGTAAATCTTTTTTTTTTTTAGGTACAGAAGTAGGAGATATTTCTCTGTGGCACAATTTATTTGTACGTGTAGTTTCAGCTCACCTAATGTTCTGGAAAGAACAGGAAGAGGAGGGGTTAGAACCAGTGAAGTGAGGTCACTTCTCTAACAAGCCAGCACAAATGTTAAATTCAGTTTTAATCCTCAATGACTTTTCTGTGCAGCCGGTTTGCACCAGGGACCAGTCTTCCCCAAAGGCTATGCCAGGGGTCAGAGCAAGAAAGGATGGTTCACTCTAATTAAAGAAACCTTATTTGCTTCTTGCACTTAGTGTGATTAATAATGTTTCTTTTCAAGTCTTTTTAAAGCTGGTGGTGTCTTGTTATGGTAGAACAACTTTGATTAGATAAAACACACACTATTGTCTTAAGGCTTTTCAGGAGTGTAGCTAGCTGATCTCTCCTGCCTCTCCAATTATAGCTTATTGTCTGTATTAAGACTGAAACTGTATTAACACATGAAACTGAAGTCTTTTAAACATATATTACTATCTATATACTGTCAAAAATTGTTTACAGTGGCTGGCCCTTTCTAGTGTTCTCACCCTTTTCTGAGAGTAAACTCTGTGAATCAGATTTTGCAGATGAGATCACACCAGACTGCTTGTATCGCAGCACAGATCCCTATGGGACTGCACTGTAAACACTGCTCACATGCTCCTAGGCAGTTTCCTATTTTTTAAGTTATTCTCTGTCCTTACAGAAAGCCTTCCTTGCATGATAAAAATCACTCAGCTCAAAACTATACATTTGTTAATGTAGCAGTAGATGTTCATGAAGTTCTGTAGTCTTTTTTTAAACAACTAAGTTCTTACCTGCCAGCAGTGTAGTTGTGCATTGTGAAAATTGCATGTATTTTATGACTGGCTTTTTGCAAATATTAAAATGAATATTATATGTGCTCTGTTAGAAAGTAATTCTGTATTAATTCTCTTAAGTAGTGTGTTTAATATAGTTTTAGGATATAAGAAATGTTAACGTAGAAACTATGCTATGTAGGATACTTTTTTTAAAGAAAGGACTTGCAGTGAGGTAGCAGCCACAGGACACCTAAATCTTTCAGATAAAAAGAATTTATTGCCCTCTTATCAGAAGAAACTAACTTCTTCCTGCCTCGAAGGTGCTGTTCGGATTCAGAGGAAGAAGCTGACCATGACCAGACGGAATCTTGTCTTTGAATGGAATTTTTGCATCATGTATGAGGTGTATGAATATGCAACAGGCTGTTGCTTTTAAGGGTTAATCTTTTTTAACGGGGATCCTTTTTCAGGCTTGTGCTGCCCAGAAAAAGGTACCCAGACGTCCATAACTCTTTGTCTCTATTGTCTCATATTGTCCTAATTCAAATTGTCCCCATTATTATTACTCTAATTGTATTACTATTTTATAACCATTTTATTACTATTAAACTTTTAAAATTTTAAAAACAAGTGATTGGCGTTTTTCACATGCATGGAGATGCAGGCACAAGTCCAGTCTAATTGTTCAAAAGTGATATACACACTCAGTTCTCCCCTTTGCCGAGAAGTCAAGATTAATGTGACATGACTGCAGTTAAGACATTTTGTGTTTCCTTTATGTTGCAGTTTTGAGTCCTTAAGATTAGTTTCACTTTATGAAAATCAAGTTTGTCCTCATTATTTCCTTTTTTTTCCCTCTAAACGCAGAAAAACTTCACTGGCCTAAGACAGAGCTTTCTAGGAAATCAGTCCTGAGTCTGGAAGTACATAAACTGAACCTTAACAATGAAAACAGCCTCCAGTATCCTCCTTCTGGCATCCTTAAGGACATTTTCACAACGGGAACCAGCAGCTACAACGTCCTTCTGCAGAGCAAAGAGGAGAAAAAGCACCACTCTCAGAAGCAGCCGGCCTCGCACCACAGGAAGCACCGGCGAGCCGCCGCCAAGCGGCCCTGCAGCCCGCGGGGCAGCCGCGGGAGGGCGCCGCTGCTGTCGCTGCCGGCCGGGCGGCGCTGCGGGCCCCGGCAGCCGCCGCCGCTGCTCTGCAATGGCCCCGCGGCCGCCGCCCTCAGCAGCGCCCCGGCCCCGCCGGCCCGGCCCCGCAGCAGGGGTAAGAAGCACTCGGGCCTCGCAAAGCCAAAGCAGGCCCCGGCCTCCAGAGGCCACGGGCAGGAGGGCGAGGCCGCTGGGCAGAAGCTGTGTTTGCTGACTGCGATCAAGCCGTCCAACGTGGAGAAAGAGAAGGTCAAGTTTTTCGACTCGGATTTCACGTACAACCCTCAGTTTGAATATGAAAACCCTGCTCTGCCAAATGTGTTAGCTAAGCACAGCCATGCGTCCGACAGATTTCTTAAGCAGGTAGAGTTGCTTTTAGTCCCCTCCATTTCCATTGATTATTTCTTCCTACATCTACGTGATATTTGGCTTTGTTTGTAGCAAGTAATTTCTCCTTATTCTCCCCTGTGTCACAGACATCTTTTATGAAAAATCCTTTCCTTAGGATTTTTCCTCCTGAGAAGCTGAGAGGCCTCAGGAACAAAGTGTAAACAATTATTATCTGCTGCTGTGGAATGCAACAGGTGCATCTGTGATTGGCCTCATGTGGTTGTTTCTAATTAATGGCCAATCACAGTCTCAGACTCTCTGTCCGAGACACAAACCTTTGTTATTCATTACTTCTTTTTCTATTCTTAGCTAACCTTCTGATGAAATCCTTTCTTCTATTCTTTTAGTATAGTTTTAATATAATATATATCATAAAATAATAAATCAAGCCTTCTGAGACATGGAGTCAGATCCTCATTTCTTCCCTCATCCTCAGACCCCTGTGAGCACTGTCACACCCTGCTCTTTGAAAGATGCATCAAAGATGAGAATGCACTAGTAGAACTGAAATAAAATCTTTTTAATTAAAAAAAAAATTAAAACCTTTCCGAAATTTACAGGATTTTAAGGGATAAAGGCACAGTTCCTTCTAAATGGTTTACATGAAACAGAATTTAAAGCAAGAAAGTTTTTGTAGGCAATGAAGCAGTATCCAGTAGAGGAAAAATACAGTGCCTAAACAGGCAGAAGAATAAGGCAGCATAGAAATCCTGCCAATCCTCTTGGTGACACAGGGATTGGGAGAGGATAGCAATTATTTGAGGTCATAGTTATTGGATAAGCATATGTTGGTGTTACTTGTTTTAATCAACTTTGAAAGGGTATTTGGATATACATTAGACTCAATCAAACAGCTGCCAAATTCCATTCCAGAGAGAGGTAAATTTTAAGAAGACAGTTGCTGCCAAATTCCATTCCAGAGAGAGGTAAATTTTAAGAAGACAGTTTTGGTTTTTCATAACTTGCAGCCACACTGGTAACATAGCTACAGACATTTCCATTCTATGTAACTGCCTTGGCTTCCTACCTGAATTACAGAAAACCTAAACAGCAAAAGCCCCGCTTTTAACTTTGACCTAAGTGACAAAACCCAGTTCTTATCTGTGCAGTAGCAGTATTCTCCCCACTTTTGCTATTTTTAAGTGGTTTAGAGGATTTTTTTTTTTATTTTTAAATGGTTTAGATCTTATTTAGGTCTAACAAGCTTTTCTAAACAGAGACTCTTATGTATTCAAGTGATACTTAACTTGGGAAGACATCCTGCCATTCCATGAGTTTCACTTCTTTGCAATATGAATATTTCACTTAAAACTAAAATTCCTGGTGGCAAAGATACATGAATTAAAAGGACTAGGGAATGTAAGAAGTGATCTCTGACTTGTGAACAGACTGATATTTTTTTTTCTTCTTCTAAACCGAAGAATATACAAAAGTGTTGTTACCCATTACATCATTGTATTGACAGACTCCATTTTCACACTGAAAATATCTGTATATTTTAACAACTCAGTTTCTGCATTTTCATTTAAAATTTATTTTCTTTATGAGAAAAGGGAACAGCTGTTCTATTCTTAAAATCATATTCCATACTTCCAGACAATGAACTAAATTGTAATGACACAAATAAAACTACTCCTTGACTAGAGCTTTTTAATAAGTTTTCCTTTGATTTTTTTAGCAATATTAGCAACATAGATGACAGCAAATCAACAGCTACTGATTTGAAAAACTGAATTTAATACAAATTATCCCTTTTAGCATGGGCTAGCAGAGCCTTGGAAGTCCTTTTATGCATGATGATTTTCTGGAGCAAACCTGTCTTTGGTTTACCTTTCTTTTAACAAACACCCATAAGTGTAAATATTGACTATTTTAAGAATTAATGATTCCTCAATATTTTTCTGATTTGTAATTCTACCTTTTTCCCTGTCCGTAAAAAGTATGGGAAAATGAAGGCCCTGTAACAACTTTATAAAAGGCAGTAAAGGATTTAACATTCAAGGAAGGATATTTCTGCCAGTTAACAAGAAATATGTAAATTGTTTCACAAGACTTAGTTTGAGTCACTAGAAAAGCATGTATTCAAAGTTCAGCTCCTAAAAATACTAAACAAAAATACCTTGCACTTAAAAATCCCAAACCAGCAGCTTTAACACAGCTCCAAGCCCAGCAGGTGTCACTCTCTCTCTTTTATCTACAACTAGCTTTAGAAATTTTCATCTCCACGCAAATTTGAATTTAATTTCATGCAAATTTACTATCCAGAAAAAGCAGCATTAATCAAAAATTTTAATCAGGAAGTATTGTGGGAGCACTCGCTTTTCCTCATTGCTATTTTTTTTTCAGGCAGATTTTACTTGTCAGAAGAAACACGTAGGTATCTTACAGGAAGTTCAGAAAGGATGACTTCAGTTGCAAAAAAAGTACTCACAGTGTCAAGAGATGGGTCTGCAGTAAAAATGCAACTGTGTGTAGTCCTCCTTTTTGCTACAAGAAGGTTCAGTTTTGTTGGGGTTTTTTTTGGAAACATATTTGGCTTCTGTTTATTGCTCCACTTATTTTAGAAAGCCTTGGTAACTGTGAATAGTTATTCCTAATTTTTTCTATACAAGGTGCTCATGGCAACTTACACTTGCCTGCTCTTTTATGAGTAAAAAGCTGTAAACCCAGCTCTTACTGACTGAACCCACCATGTTTATAGGGGGCTTTTAGGATACTTAAGCAAAATGAGCTCAAAACCTGACATTTCAGAATTTTAGAAAATTTTTCAGTCATCTCAGAAATCTTTTTACCCACAGCTGTGCATAGCCTGCTAGGACATTGAGACAGATTGTGTTTTCTTATTGCCCTTTCTGCATTTGTGCATGTCTATGAAATTGGTTAATACAGCGTTACTGAAATATGTCTGGAAGACAAATCACACTCTGCCCCATTTATTTACTTTTTTTAAAGGCAAAGAGCACTGAAAGTTTGCAAACCATTAACCCAGCAGTGCTGCAGTGGGGAGTACACAGGCTTGTGAGCACCCTCTTTACCCCATGCCTCTGCTTAAATCAGAGCTTTTAAACCTTGGGCACAGCCCAACACTTCTATTGATTGACTTTTCACAGACATCGAGAAATCATTTTTGAGTTAGTAATGCATTTGAAAAACGCTAGTTTTAGTGTCTTCCTTCTCATACTGTATTCTGTTTGTTTCTCCATATCTCCATTATTTTCTTCATAATAAGTATTTTCATGAGTCACACAATACAGTGCCTTTAGGGAAGTAAACTGGAGGATAGAAAATAGCATGCAGATTTGCACTCTTCAGAAGTATTAACATATCCGGTATTACAGAAGTTAATTTTCTTACCACTGTGTTTCAAGGTCACTGCAGCAGCTCTGTGCTCCAAAAGTTTTCTGGCTCAAACTACTTATCCCTCTTTGTGAAGTTTCTTAGCGCTCAAAGTGTTTGTTATTTTTGCTCAGATGCTAGAGGTGGCAATATTTGCTTAGAAATAGTTGTTCCCAGTGTTTGCAGAGCAGATGAACTTAACAGTTGCAATTTGCTGAACCAAAATCAGCAAGTTGTAATTTTAGGGACCCTGTTTCTTTGAATTGTACATGGCAGCAAGAATTGTATTTCTGTATACATTAAAAAAAAAAAAAAAAAAAACCACAAAAACCCCCAACCATTTCATCAGATGAGTGATCCTCCCACAAAAGAGTTATACATCCTCTTCCCTTGCTATATATTCAAGTATAGCAGTTTTAAATTCATAAATAAACCAGTTACACCACATTGCAAGTGTTTGTGTGACACCTTTTAAGGCAATAACAAAAGTAGCCTACAATTAGCAAATTTATCAGATGTTGGGGAAAAAGAGTTAGGTGGAGCAGGAAGGCTAAACAACATGGCATTCAACACTGAGTAATCCTTTGCTATGTCCAAGTGATGTCACAGCTGAGGCATGTGGAAGATGCAAGGACATGACACTGTCTGTATAAAGCACATAATTGTAAAACACCTCATTCTGCACTAGTAACAAATTCCCCTGCTAACTAGGATTTATGGATAAGGTGTGCTAATACATAACACAAAGCATGGTAGCCCATCCAAGTGGCACAGATTCTCACAAACATCTCTCTTCCCCTAGAAGTGACTAATAGATCACTTCTGGTGATACCACAGTGGGAAGGTTAGCTTTACTTCAGAGCACAGTCTCATACAAAAATCCAGTGAGTGTTAACTTCAAATTCTTTACAAAGTAATTTAAAATTTTTTAATTGAAAATATTTCTACCAGCTCTAAATTACTTAAATGTGACCATTATACCACTAAGAGCAAGCATGCAGAAGAAAAACCCCTATAAACACTAAATAAAACCCCAAATACTACAGCCTGAGCAGACTAGAAATGGATATTTACCTTCCTCCCTCCATTCCTCTTGACCCAAACAGCCACCATTTTATGGCTGTTGATTAAACTAACAAGCTCAGCCTGGTACTAAATGTTACCTAATGATGCACCTTGGACACTTTTTTCTCCCCAGCAGATAAGTTATGCAGGAAGAAGAGCAATGGTGTGTGTCTACCTTATCTGTCTTACAAATCTCAGCAGAGATTGCAACTCCTTTGCAGCAGAACTAAATGTAGGATGAGCTGACTCAAGCAGGGGGCTGACTCCTGGATCACTGAGACCCTTCTCTGACTTGCTTGCCTCACACTACTCATAAGAAGTCTTATCAGTACACATCTCTACTATAACTCTCAACCATTGAGCTGAGTTGCAGGACAGGGTGATTTGAGATTCAGAGACCTACTTGGCTGTAAATAATTTGTTTTAAAAAGCCAACACCACTGTAACCTAATCCAGTAAGTGAAACAGCCTTGCCTTGCTCTTGTTCGTGCTTCTGTGTCATTGCTTTCTTGAGCATCAGTAGAGTTTGCTGTGCAAGGGGGCTTGTCTTACGATTGCTACTTTTTTTGCCACTCTTTGGTAGTGAGCAGAGGGATAAGCAGACATTCTAGGTAATATTGAAAAGAACAGGAATTACTACTCCTAACCAGTAACCTGGTACAGCCACATAGTTCTTCTTTTCTTCCATTTTTTCACCTGTTGCTGAAGAGTTTACAGTTTGGCCTTAGGAAGTGCAGCAGTACCAGTGTTCTGCTGGCCCAGAGGCTGGAAAATCAGCTCACAGTTGGATGCTGCAGTAGGCAGCAGCTGGCATGCTGGTCTGGATTTTCCCCTTTCCCAGCAAGTTCTTGCAACAGCTGACTGAGTCATCTCACCTTGGAGGCAGGTGCAGAATCCCAAATTAAGGGCTTGGTGTTGTAGTCAGTGCCTGGAAACCAAACATTTCCCAAACCATTTCCCTTCTGGAACCACCCCCAGCAGGAGTGGTTGTGGCAAGAAATGTCCAAACCAAGAGCATCACTGGGGATGGGGCTCACCCCAGTGTCAGGGCCATGTGCCACTCCCTAGGGATTTGTGTGCAATGTGTCTGTGTGTGAAGGCTCTCCCTGTCGTTTCAGTGCTTCCAGAGCCACACCTGCCCACTTGGAAAGAATTCTTGGGACTTTTTCTGTTTCACTTGAAACAGAGTCAAGAGAGAAGGTGATATAGGGGTGAGCACCCTTCTTAGTAATCTCTGAATATCTCTTCAGCAAAGAGGAGGTTTAAGCTTAACAGCTTTCTCAGTATGCAGGAGCTCAAACTTGCAACACATATCTGGATGTGGATGGAATGGCAGGATGTGGGTTACCTGGTGTGGCACATAAAGAAGTTTCCCCTTGAAGCTGTGAACTCTGTCAGGTTGAGGTAGGAGAGGTTGGAGTGGGTCTGTGTTTCTTGAGGAGGACCTGTGTCTGAGAACCTGCTGTTTGTATTGTGTTGTTGATTCAAGTGTCTCACAGCATTTTGGAAAGTTTCAACAGCCCAGGAAGTTGCCTGCAAGCAGGCAGGAAGAGTTAGAACTTGGGTCTCCTGACTCCCAAAATCATGCTGCCTTCTGTAGCCCGGAGGTCTCAGCTCCAGGGAGTTTGCTGTTACAGACAGTCAGGCAGGAGGTTTGATGTGTTCAGTGCTCATTTTCTCTCTGTTCATTGTGATGAGGTGGTTTTAGAAAACGCCTGCACTCCAGCTAAGGTTGGAGAGTCCTCTGAGATTTCACAGACTTCACAGAACCACTAGGCTGGAAGAGACCTTATAAAGATCATTGAGTCCAATCCATGCCCTAACACCTCAGCTAAACTGTGCCACAACCAGTCTTTCCTTAAACACATCCAGGGATGGTGACTCCACCACCTCCTTGGGCAGACCATTCCAGAACTTTATCACCCTTTCTGTAAAAAATTCTTCCTAATATCCAGCCTATATTTCTCCTGATGCACTTTGAGACTGTGTCCTCTGGTTCCGTCAGTTGCTGCCTGGAGGAAGAGACCAACCCTCACCTGGCTACAGCCACCTTTCAGGGAGGTGTAGAGAGTGATAAGGTCACCCCTGAGTTAATTTCAAACAAATTTAGGCATCCTAGAATTTAAGTGGGTACTTAGTGTTTAGTCCTATAGATTTAATTGAAATTTAATATCAACAAGTTGTGAAGACAAATTTCATGCTGGAAGGTTGATTGACAGATGACTTCTTCCAGAGTGAACAAAT